AGGGGTTCCGGATTTTAGGGTTTAGGGCTTCAGGGTTCTAGAGTGCAGGGTTTAGGGCTGTGCCTTATTTAAGGGCTCAGTGGACGTAGTAAGTGGATAATTGGGTGATAAGTCCGCGAAGCGGGTTATCCTACTTATCACCCTACTTATAACCTTGCTTACTAAGCTCTTGGGCCTATAAGTTTGGTTTCAGGCTCAGGGCTTTAAGACTTTAAAGTCTTCAGGGTGTCGTTGTAAGGCATAGAAGCTACAAGTCTTTAAGTTGTCCGGAATGTGTAAGTAATCAAAGTCTCGGTGCAGCTTTTTTTTCGACTTCCGCGCACTCCCCCTCGTGCCCACAGCAACCGAATCCATCGTTCTGAAAGTAGCAAACTCCAGAGTGAGACCTCGCTGTCTTGGGGAAGCAAACTGCCTAAGAACTACTTGTGGATCTAACAAGCTACTGCTTTTAAGGGCTGTGCCAGGTTATGCACAAACCCTAAACCCGAAGCCCTAAATAAGTATGGGGTCAGAATGTCTAAAGTTGTGTAGCGTTTGTGATCGGCTTGTTGATGTGCAGATCAGGCTACCTGGACTATTGGTCCGAGATTGCGGCCTCAGCGAAGAAGATAGAGGTGACAGCGGGTTCAGGGTTTCAGGGGTTTTGGGGTTTCAGGGCTTTGCGTCTAGAGTTTCACTTAGGGTTGAGGTTTCACTGCTTAATTAGACATGGTGTCTTGTACAATTTAGGGGAAATTGTCTCTATTTCACAGGGCAGGCCTGTAGTGAAGCGTTGGGGATTCGAAGCTTCAGTCGTACCTGTGAATAGTCACCTACACTCCCAAATACCAAGCTACAAGACTACTTCCTAAGTCCAAGTACTTGATTGCTAGATGATGTGCGCCCGTTAGGGTGCACGGCTCGCGGGCCGTCGAGTCCCGTACGAAGGGCTCCAGAGCCGGTTCGCCACTTTGAAAGGCGCTTGGAGACTGGAAGCTTCAGTTTGAACTAGAAATCCTACACCCGCAAGTCCTAATGAACCCTTTAGGGTTTAGGGTTTAGGGTCTAGGGTTCAGGGCCGGCCCAGGGGTTAGGGTTCGGGGTTTAGGGTTTGGGGCTTAGGAACCCATCTTAACCGCAACCCTAAACACTGAGAGCCATTAAAACAGTTCTGCAGCGGTAACTTCCAAAACCTACCTGTAGTCTCCATTGTAGTTCCTTTTTGGGGATACCTTTCCTTACTATATAATTGGTTAAACCAAAAAAAGGAACTACAATGGAGACTGTAGGCAGACTCCGAACTGTGCAAACCTTACACTGGCCCCGAACACTCAACTCCAAAGCTTGCTCGAAACCCCAAGCCCTACTCCTTAAGCCCTGCAGCCCCAGCCGCACAATCGAAACCTAAAACCCTCAACCCTAAACCCTAAAGCATGAATCCCAAACCCAAAACTCGAGACCTGGAGAGTTAAACACCAATACATCTAGGACATTTTCAGGTGGGTAGTTGCAGTTATAGGAGCCTTATAGAAGGTCTATAAGGAAGCCTTAGAGAAGCCCTATATTCCTTAAACTCCCCACCTGTAGCTTCCTTTAAACGCAGAAGCTTCTGAAGCCCAATCCTCAGCTCACCTTTAAGTTGGTTTTGGCGTTTCAGAAAATCAGGGAACTGTTTTGTACAATCTGAGAACCCTTGATAGTAAGATCCTAAAGGTCCGGACCCCTAGATAAGGGAGCCCAATTCAATTTCAAGAAAAACTGCACCCCAAAATGGTTGACAGGTGCTGCTGCAGCGCTGTGGCGGCACTGGGCTCGAGGTGCGCCGCACAAAGCTGAAAGGCTTGAAAGTTTCGTTGGTTCGGGTTTGGGGCACTAGGGACAGCCGGATAGTGATGCAAGTATCCCATGATAGCCTGAGTCCGCAGCGCATACACAAGGACAAATATGCGTAGTTCTCAAAATTATGGTCCCTTTGTGAGTCCCCAATATGGTACGCCACCCTTATAAAAAGAACACTAAAAGGGACCCCAATTTAGAGAACTACCCATATATGTATAATGTATACATGTATGTCTCTCTCTCTCTCTATATATATATATATACATATGTATATTTGCATGTGCATGTATGTATTTATGTATGCATCTGTATATGTATGTATACGTACATGCATAGAACATCCTGTGTATCTGTATAGCATTGCTGTGCGAATAGATGCGATTTAAGCCATTAGCAGCGATCCTTTGCGTGATTTTACCCCCAAACCCTAAATCCTAAATCCTAAATATACAATGCCTCGACAGGCTTTGGAGGGGTTTCAGATCGTCAGCTTGGCCTGGGAGCTCTGTGGTTGTGCGGTGGCGGGTGTGTGAATCGACATGCCCTGTGTATGGCAGGGCCATCGTAAGCATGCGATCGACTGTCCCTGCACTTCAAACACGGCACCCCGAAATAAACCCCTAAACCGTAAAGCCGTTAGCACTTATATCAAAAGCCTTAAACCCTAAACCCTAAACCCCTAAACCCCTGAACCCTAAACCCTAAACCCTAAGCCACTCTTCACTGAAAGGTGTCTTCCTCTGCTTCTTGAGGCAGCGGCCTTACTGCGCCTCGCTGCCGATGGAAAGATCCTAGGACTGGAAGACTTAAGGTTTAGGGGTTTAGGGGTTTGGGGTTTAGGGTTTAGGGATTTAGGGTTTCGGGTTTCGGGCCTAATTAAGGTTCAGGGTGTGGGGTCTCTTTCTTGGGTTTAGCTTTTCTTTGTTCTGGGACCC